CAAGCGGTGCATATCGAAACAGAAGTGACTTAGACAAACAGTACAGCATCAGTTCATAGAAGACTTTTTAACAAAGAATAGTAAAAAGCTCGTTATTTCCCCGCCTTCTTTTTCACTTCCTCGTCAATTGGTGCTGGTTTCACAAACGGAATGAAGGTGCGGTATTTCTCCGGCATAAATGGATGGAGAACCTGATTATAAATACACATACAACACGAGTAAGTACGTATGCAAAATATAAACACAACTAAGCCTACAAAACATAGCCGAAGAATCGCGTATTGGTCGCAATAAAAGAAGGCGCTAAACCAATATAAGTCCACTATGCGATGCATTACTTACGGCCTTGTCCGCTGCGAATGATGGTGCATGTAACCAAGGACGGTTTTGAGGCGCCGCCAACTCGTCCCCCACCAGTTGTTGAAGCCGATAAACAACAACAATCGGCGGAAAATCACTACTGCGAACGACAGATACTGTCTTGTCGCTTGAACAATTAGTGGAAGACGGATTGGGCGCCGCGCCACGCCCATCCCACCTGACATACTCTTTCATCCGCTGCGAATAGACAAGCCACGCTCCATGTCAGCTTACCATCGTCGAAAGAGATGGAACTCCGAGATCGCTGAATCGTTTTTCACCGGTAGGGTACAGCACCAACGAAAAACCCCAGCAGAGGTGGGGTCATGTTTGGTGATTTTTTTCACGAGAGAAATTTGTTCGGTTTTTGACTTTTTTTCCCATTTCATATTCTTTGACACCACCATTTCTCCGATCTCAATGCTATACCCGGTCCCACGAAAATCCACCAAACCTGGTATGAAGATCACTCACAACCTGCTAGTTCAGCACCCTCCCCCCAGAGCAGAGGCGAAAATTCTCAACCGCCAGAGCAGCATCGGATGAAAGAAATGACGGTGTTAGACTATCCCCTGGACTTATTCTTCTGGTACGACCCTTCACCACCTCCCTTACGTTGCATAACTTTACGCAACTTCCTACCAACGTTTTTTTTCAAAAAAAGGTTCTCCCAGTTTTTCCCCTAACACAAAAACTGTTGCCGAGGCGGGG